GTCGCGTGGGGGGTCCCAAGAATTGAGCTTTCTTGTGTGGGGTGCCGGGGCGACGCTAGGGAGCATGGGTGGTTTCGGGCGAGAAATCCAAAAACGCATGCCCAGGCGCCTCGGGGGGCCGGGGGTGCTGGGGTGCAGGAGGGGATCCCGGCGAAGAATTCGCAGGGTGGGTGGCGTCTAAAAATTAACGAAAAACGCATGGCCAGAGGCCTCGGGAGGCTGGGGGTGCCGAGGTGCGGGGGGGGGCCCGGAGAAGAATTTGCGGGGTGGGTGGCCTATATGAACGTGCCAAAAAACGCATGCCCAGAGGACTCTGGAGGCTGGGGGTGCTGGGGTGCAGTTGGGGTCCCGGCGAAGAATTTGCAGGGTGGGTGGCTTTTCAAAATTTACCAAAAACGCATGCCCAAAGGCCTCGGGAGGCTGGGGGTGCCGGGGTGCAGGGGGGGTCCCGGCGAAGAATTTGCAGGGCGGGTGGCTTCTGAAAACCACCAAATACACATGCCCAGAGGCCTCGGGTGGCCGGGGGTGCCGGGGTGCAGGGGGGGGGTCCCGGCGAAGAATTTGCAGGGTGGATGGCTTTTAAAAACTTACCAAAAACGCTTGCCCAGAGGCCTCGGGAGGCCGGGGGTGCCGGGGTGCCCAGTGCAGGGGGGGTCCCGGCGAAGAATTTGCAGGGTGGGTGGCTTCTAAAAACTTAACAAAAACGCATGCCCAGAGGCTTCGGGAGGCTGGGGGTGCCGGGGTGCAGAGGGGGGGTCCCCGGCGAAGAATTTGCAGGGGGTGGCCTCTAAGAACTTTGCAAAAAACGCATGCCCAGAGGCCCGGAGGCGGGGGGGCCGGGGTGCAGGGGGGGGGCCCGGCGAAGAATTTGCAGGGTGGGTGGCCTCGGCGAGGAGGGGGGCATGGGTGGTTTCGGGCGAGAAATCGTCGCGTGTGGGGGGGGTGCCGGGGCGAGGAAGGGGGTATGGGTGGTTTCGGGCGAGAATTTGCAGGGTGGGTGGCGTCTAAAAACTTACGAAAAACGCATGGCCAGAGGCCTCGGGAGGCTGGGGGTGCCGAGGTGCGGTGGGGAGCCCAGCGAAGAATTTGCGGGGTGGGTGGCCTATAAGAGCGCACCAAAAACGCATGTCCAGAGGACTCGGGAGGCTGGGGGTGCCGGGGTGCAGGGGTCCCGGCGAAGAATTTGCAGGGTGGGTGGTTTTTAAAAACTTACCAAAAACGCATGCCCAGAGGCCTCGGGAGGCTGGGGGTGCCGGGGTGCAGGGGGGGGTCCTGGAGAAGAATTTGCAGGGTGGGTGGCTTCTAAAAACTTACCAAACCGCATGCCCAGAGGCCTCGGGAGGCCGGGGGTGCCGGGGTGCAGGGGGGGGTCCCGGCGAAAAATTTGCGGGGTGGGTGGCCTCTAAAAACTTGGCAAAAACGCATGCCCAGAGGCTTCGGGAGGCTGGGGGTGCCGGGGTGCAGGGGGGGGGTGCCGGCGAAGAATTAGCAGGGTGGGTGGCTTCTAAAAACCCGGCAAAAACGCATGCCCAGAGGCCTCGGGAGGCCGGGGGTGCCGGGGTGCAGGGGGGGTCCCGGCGAAGAATTTGCAGGGTGGGTGGCCTCTACAAACCATTGCCCAAAGGCTGCAGGAGGCGGGGGATGTCAGGCGCGGTGGGGGGGTCCCGGCGAAGATTTTGCAGGGTTGGGGGTCCTTGAAAGCAGAGGCCGAGAAGCCTCAGGAGGTTGGGGATCAGGCGTGGTGGCGGGTGGGTGGTTTCGGGCGCGGTGGCGGGTGGGTGGTGGGTCCCAAGAATTGAGCTCTCTTGTGGTGGGGGTGCCGGGGCCAGGAGGGGGGTATGGGTGGGGGGTGCCAGGGCGAGGAGAGGCTGAGGGGTATGGGTGGTTTCGGGCGAGAAATCGTCGCGTGGGGGGTCCCAAGAATTGAGCTCTCCTGTGGTGGGGGTGCCGGGGCCAGGAGGGGGGTATGGGTGGGGAGTGCCGGGGCGAGGAAGGGGGTATGGGTGGCTTCGGGCGAGAAATCCCAAAACGCATGCCCAGACGCCTCAGGGGGCTGGGGGTGCCGGGGTGCAGAGGGGGGATCCCGGCGAAGAATTTGCAGGGTGGGTGGCGTCTAAAAACTTACCAAAAAAACATGCCCAGAGGCCTCGGGAGGCTGGGGGTGCAGAGGTGCGGGGGGGAGCCCGGCGAAGAATTTGCGGGGTGGGTGGCCTATAAGAACGTACCAAAAACGCATGCCCAGAGGACTCGGGAGGCTGGGGGTGCTGGGGTGCAGGGGGTGTCCCGGAGAAGAATTTGCAAGGCGGGTGGCTTCTCAAAACCTGCCAAAAACGCATGCCCAAAGGCCTCGGGAGGCCGGGGGTGCCGGGGTGCAGGGGGGGTCCCGGCGAAGAATTTGCAGGGTGGGAGGCTTCGGAAAATCCTCCAAATACACATGCCCAGAGGCCTCGGGTGGTTGGGGGTGCCGGGGTGCAGGGGGGGGTCCCGGCGAAGAATTTGCAGGGTGGGTGGCTTTTAAAAACTTACCAAAAACGCATGCCCAGAAGCCTCGGGCGGCTGGGGGTGCCGGGGTGCAGGGGGGGGTCCCGGCGAAGAATTTGCAGGGTGGGTGACCTCTAAAAACTTACCAAAAAAAACATGCCCAGAGTTCCGGGAGGCCGGGAGTGCCAGGGTGCAGGGGGGGGTCCCGGCGAAGAATTTGCAGGGTGGGTGGCCTCTAAAAACCTGGCAAAAACGCATGCCCAGAGGCCTCGGGAGGCTGGGGGTGCCGGGGTGCAGGGGGGGGTCCTGGCGAAGAATTTGCAGGGTGGGTGGCCTCTACAAGCCATTGCCCAGAGGCTGCAGGAGGCGGGGAATGTCAGGTGCGGTGGGGGGGTCCCGGCGAAGATTTTGCAGGGTTGGGGGTCCTTGAAAGCAGAGGCCGAGAAGCCTCAGGAGGTTGGGAATGTCAGGCGCGGTGGCGGGTGGGTGGTTTCGGGCGCGGTGGCGGGTGGGTGGTGGGTCCCAAGAATTGAGCTCTCCTGTGGTGGGGGTGCTGGGGCCAGGAGGGGGGTATGGGTGGGGGGTGCCGGGGCGGGGTGGTTTCGGGCGAGAAATCGTCGCGTGGGGGGTCCCAAGAATTGAGCTCTCCTGTGGTGGGGGTGCCGGGGCCAGGAGGGGGGTATGGGCGGGGGGTGCCGGGGCAAGGAGGGGGGTATGGGCGGTTTCGGGCGAGAAATCGTCGCGTGGGGGGACCCAAGAATTGAGCTCCCTTGTGGTGGGGGTGCCGGGGCCAGGAGGGGGTTCCGGGGCGAGGAGGGGGGTATGGGTGGTTTCGGGGGGGAAATCGTCGTGTGGGGGGCCCCAAAAATTGAGCTCTCCTGCGGTGGGGATGCCGGGGCCAGGGTGGGGGGTGCCGGGGCGAGGAGGAGGGTATGGGTGGTTTCGGGCGAGAAAACGCATGCCCAGAGGCCTCGTGAGGCTGGGGGTGCCGGGGTGCAGGGGAGGGGGCCGGCTGAGATCGGCGAAGGGTCTGCAGGGCGGGTGGGTCTGAAGGCATCGTATGCAGATAGTGAAAATGATAATGCATAGAGTGGCATCGTATGCAGCTGAGAAGGATGGGGCTTTGGGACCCTCCAGACGGGCCTCGAAGCGGCCACCGGGCCTCACATGGCGTTTTGCCAAGCCTTCCCAGCACACCTAGGGCGATCAGGGGGGTCATCGGAGACGTCCCAGAGACCCCCAAGACAGCACAAGAGCGCTCCAAGAGTGACCGACGTGACCTCAAGATGGCCCAAGAGGCCTCCAGGACGGCCCCAACTAGGCCCCCAAGAGCACTCCCAAGAAGGCCCCCCGAGGCAAAAATTATAAATTTTCTGTTGGTTTTGGTTAATTTTAGGATTCTCCTCTTTTCGGCTTCCCGACGCTCCAAGACGGCGGTCTTCTGGGCGTCCGAAGCCGCCTGGGAGGCTCCAAAATCGCCCCACAACCATCCGAAAGAGCTTCCAGGCAGTCCAAGAGAGCCCCCTAAACGGCACAACACGGGTCCAAGATGGCCCTCAGAGAGCCCCATGGCGGCCCAAGATGACCCAATGACACCCTCCGAAGCATTCCAAATCGTGACCCGGTCGTTCGGTTGGAGGCAGGGTGGCCCGAGGAAGCCCCCGGAGGCCCCCAGAATACGCCCAGGAGGTCTCCAGAAGGCCTTAAGAAAGCCGGAAACAATTTTTGTGAGGCCCTTAGAGGCTCTCCAAGGAGGAGCCTCCGCAAAAAAGAGCTGAGGAGGATAGGGAGAATGGCAGGGCATGGCGAAAATAAGGAAAAAGAAGCATGGAGGAAGGATAACTGATAACATTATTATAGCGGCGATGCCAGAAAAGGCAACCAGGAGTTATCGCTAAATTGTCGGCTTGACCTTCCTGCTATTCCGCCTGCATACCAAACTTCAATGACCAAGGTGCATGGCGCGAAGCGAAGCGCCACTGCAGTCGTGTTTATATATATATATATATACACACGTACATGTATAGTACCAGTGGCGGGCTGCTTTTTTCCACGGAAAACAATGACACATGTATACACCAGGATCCCGCATACACCAGGATCCTTTTTCCTGTGCGAGTTTCATTGCGGGGCCGGAAAATTTTCGGTATGTAGAGTTCGGCTGCTTAAGAGAGGGAGGCATGCCTTGGTCCGCGACGGCGACAGTGACTGGCCCATTTTCCAACATCACTATCCGAGGTAGGAGAGGGAGGAGGAGGAGGAGGAGGAGGGGGAGGAGGAGGAGGAGGAGGAAGAGGACGAGGAGGAGGAGGAGGAGGAGGACGAGGACGAGGAGGAAGAGGAGGAGGAGGGCCTCATCATCATCCTCCTTTCGTATGGTAGTTGTGGTGGAAAGCCGGCCCATCGAGGTCCGTGGGCGCGAGCGCGGAAGGCCCCAGGCGGCTGGGCGTGCATGCTGCCGAGCGGGCCGGCGGTCGGGGCGCGGGTCCGTGCTCTCGCGGGGGGGGGGAGGCGGCCAGGTCAAGGCTGGCGAGGAGGAGAGGCCGGAGCCGATGGAGCTTTTGTACATCTACGGCCAGGAGTCAGGGAGGGGGCAAAAACACACAGACATTAACACTCGTCGATTTTCGGGAGAATATGGAAAACATGGGAAATGGGAGGGGAAACGAGCATCCAGAAGACAAGCAACATATGGGGGATCCTGAGACGTGTGTCTATTTACTTGTGTCCCTGGGCCCTTTCAATGAAGTCCTCCTCCTCCTCCTCCTCCTCCTCCGTCTTCTCCCCTCCGCCACAGTCCCGAGTCCGGGGCCATGGGTTCGTTTTTGCCGTCGTCACTGCTGAGATTCGTCGCAGTAGCATCCCCCTCAGCTTTCCGCCTTCTCCCAAAGTTGTGGTGAACAGAAGTCATCTACGGGAGTTGGGGGCGACGGTTCCGAGGCTCAGGCGGCTCCTGAGGAGACGCTCCAAGTTTTCGGGTGTGTTCATCGGTCCTCGGCTGTTTTCCAGCCTCGGCGTGCTCTCCACCAGTCGCGCCTCGCGGAGAGCGTTCCAGGGGTGCCCTGATCGTCCCGAACGGCCACCGGAGAGCTGAACTGAACTATCAGCCGGAAGCCTGGGGGGCAACGTCAGGGGGGGGGGGGCAAGCTCAGATGGGGGATGCGTCGACCCCAAACCGCCCACTCATTGCTGATAGGGCCCCGACGGGGTCGACGGGGGGAGGGGAGGGAGGAGGAGGATGAGTGGGCGAGGGCTGCAGTCAGCATGAGCAAGACAATCCACAGCTTTGAGGACCAAGGATGAGAAGGAGGAGGACCGAGGAGGAGAAGGAGGAGGAAGAGGAGGAGGTCCGGAGCCATTTTGGCTCAAGTACGAAATCGTCGCTCTGCGGCTTCGTGCTTGTCTGCTGCCGAGGGGTTGGCCCGAGGCGTGCGCGCCTGCAGCAGGCTTTCTTTTCTTCTCGCACGATCCCCACGGTGAGCCCTCGTGCGGCCGTGGGTCTCTGTGTCGCAATCACGACCCAAGCAGTCTCTTGCGAGTATCCCGTCTTCCGATGGCTTCCGCGATGGACGCTGCAGGGCGCCGCCGTGCGCTCGAGGACATCGAGATCGTACCCACGTTCCCCTCGCAGGAGCGCCAGAAGGTCAGGGACAGCACGCGTTCACGTGAGCGTACCCGTCGGGCACGTGCGGCGCACGGTGCTATGGATGAGGACACGATGAGGATGAAGGCTTCCGCTCGATTGATGTGAACACAGTGGTTCAATCCTTTTGGTAGGGATGCTATTGGTGCTGCTGCTGAGGATGCTGCTGATGTCCGTGCCTATGTCGATTCAACCGAGTCCGAGTTGTTGGCAGCCGTCGCCCGAATGCAGGAGATCGTCACTAGCTTGGCGTCCACGATACACACCTCGTGCGGGAGCCTGGCCAAGCAAGTGGAGAAGAGGCTGGGGCATATGGAGAGGGTGGGTCAGCGTCACGCACTTCGGCAGGAGGATCGTGACAAACATATCGACCATTTCCAGGAGCAGCTGCAGTTCCTACTCAATGAGAAACCAGATGTCCGCCCTGCCAATCCTGCGTACTCGAGACCCCCCGACTACACCATCGCACTGGCGAGGACCGCGACCATTGCGGCCGCCGCGGAGGTCAAGAATGCCATCATCCCGTGGCTCGAGAGGGCCAGCGTCGAGGCTGAGGATTGGAAGATCGATTTTGCCCCTGCGGACAAGAAGTTCACTATTCGCTTTGCTGGTGCACCGCAAATTGCGACGAGGCGTGTCCAACAGGCGCTGGCTGCTCTAAAGACGGGCCCGGGGACTTGGGAGCGATTCGCGGTCGCGGACACTCGGGAGCTGCACGTGGCGGAGGACAGATCGCAGCAGCAGATCCAGAAGGAGCTCGCTCTCAAGCGGGCCGAGCGCGCTCTGGAGGAGCGCTTTCCTGAACGGCGTTTCTGCATCAACAAAGTCCGCGGCGAACTGTCGGCGCAGCGGGCCCCGTTCTGCCGTGTCACACCGTTCGAGGACGGCCCCGCCAAGATCCAGTGGGACGTCGCTGCCATCGCCGAGCTCGACCTGGACAGGGCGGAGGTGGAACCCCTTGCCAAGCAAGCGGTCGCTGGCAGGGAAGCAACGCCAGCGCTGAGTCTTTAGCGCGGCCGCAGTTCTGGACGTCCAGCGTCGAGAGCAGCCTCTCGCTAACGCTGGGCTCTTGGAGCGCGCGTTCCCTTTTCAAACGTGATCTTCCTTTTAGATCTCGCAGGCTTAGTTATTTGGCCGGCCTGTCGGTGCCTGGGTCACTCGCCGGAGTGCAAGAGGCGAGGGGGTCGATGCATGAGCTGCGTGACTTTCTCTATCACCTCCACAAGCCGATCGAGGCTATTTCGTCTTTCTGCCCGCTTTCTAACGCAGATGGGGGGCCCGTTCCAGGTTTTGAGGCGCGCGGGCAAGCGGAAGGCAGTGGCTCGCGGCATCGGGCGAAAGGAGTCATCGCCTTCCTCGCCGACTTCGGTCACCCCCCGGACCCTCCGCGCGCAGAGTATGAGGCCATCGTTGAGGGGGGGGCCCTGGGGCTCAGCATTCAGTCCCAGGAGGAGTTTACCATAGTACATTACAATATCCACAACTTCGGGATCACTCCAGAGGCTAGGGCTGCACTTCGAGGCATGGTTCGGGAAGATGTTAGGCAGTCCAGTCTGGCCCCCATGAAGCACTTCACGGCTGCGTTGGGTGACTTCAATTGCGCGGGGGCCCTCCTGTTCCCAAATCCGCTTTCTCCCTGGGGCTTTCTAGGAAACAGCTTCGTGGGCGCGTGGTGCTGTTCAAGGGTGGCGCTCGAATCCTGGGGCGGACTGGGCAGCCATTACTAGTGACCTCGTCGAGTTCGAAGCGCGCGAGCCGACGCGCTTCTGTCAGTCCGAGCGCTCGGTCTCCACCGTCGACCGCATTCGCTGCTCCCTCCCTGGCTGGGCGCTGACGAACCTCGCGTGTGGCACTCGCGCGGTAGGAAGCCCAGAGGTGAATCACCGCGCGAGGTTCTCGGATCATTCTGCGGCCCCGGTGTCGCTTGGCCCGGGGGCCCTTGCGAAGCATTGCGACAGACCGATTCGCCCTAAAATCTACAAGAGAGCCGAGTACAAGTCATTCGTCCAGTCTGTTGTCGACCGGGTGGGCACGGACCGCCTCGGCCTGCCTTTTAAGCACGAGTCTCACAAGGAAGTAATGAGAGAGGCCGCTCGTTTCGCTCGGGGCCCTATGATCATTCGATCGCCGTCGCAGATTTTCACGTGATGGATGATCGCCAAGTCGGTCGGTCGTGCCGCTTAGGATGCTCGTCTCGCTGGTCGTCTTCAGAATGCTCGCGGACTCGGTCGCCGTCGCATCGAGATCGACCCGCTGACCTAGAAAGTCACCCTTGTGGAACAGGAGGCGTTTACAGCACTCGCCAACGAGCCCCACTTGAGCTTGGACCTGTCTGCCCAGGCCCGTCTCACCGCCCAGCTTCGCGAATCCGAACATCAAGTGCGTGCCGGACAAACGACGTCTCCGAGGGCTCGATCGCCGCGGGAAGTTCTGGGTTCCGATGGATCAAAAACTGCGTCTGCAGGGGCTGAAGATCCAGGACAACGCGAAGACGGACCCCCCTGATATGTTAGACGGATTGTCGCAGGAGTGGGGACCAGTATTTCCCCAACCAGAGCTTGCCTCTGTAGGGGTCCTGGCGGATTAAAGGCTGAGGTGTGAGGTGCGGCCGATTTCGGTGGCCGGGCCGGGGCGCCCGGGGGTGCCCGGGCGCCCGGGTGCCCGGGTGCCCGGGTTGGCCGCCGATTCGGCGGCCGGGCCTGGCCCGGGCGCTCGGGTGCCCGGGCGTCCGGGTGCCCGGGTGCCCAGGTGCCCGGGTGACGGGTGCCTGGTGCCCGGGTGGGTGCCCAGGTGCCCGGTGCGCTGTAGCCCTATAGCCTTATAGCCTTATATCACTATCGCCCTATAGCCCTATAGCCCTATAGTAGCCTTATAGCGCTATAGCCCAATAGCCCTATAGCCCTATAGCCCCAAACAAATTCTGATTGGGGTTTTTCTCCGGTATCATTAGAGCCAAGGAGATAGAATTGGCCGCGGCCGAGCAGTGCCTCTCCCGCTTTGCGGCACAGGCTGATCTGCTCGACCTGCCATTGCCTGGCGCCCTCATGACTCGGCGCAAGCTCGATCGCGCCCCTGCTCGCGCCGCAGGCCCCGACGGCTTGCGCTACCAGGTGTGGAGATATCACCCGCTCGGAGAAATTGCGATTGAGGAAGCGCCCCGCCGGCGCCCGGCAGGTCTCCCGACGCTTTACGGGTCCAACGATTTGAGAGGAGTTTGGATCCCGAAGGACCCAGAGGCCAACGAGGACGGGATCACTGATTTTGAGGCCCTTCTGACGCGCCCGTTCGGATCGAAAAACTGCGATGTTAAAGTTTTAACCGCGGCGTGCATCTCGGAGCTCTCCCGTAGGCTGCCACAGTTTAATGATCCTGACCAGAGGGGGTTTGCCCCGGGGCGAAATTTCGGTGCGAACGTGTTGGAGCTGGACGCTGCCTCCAGGATAACTGGTTTGTCGGGTCCCTCCCCCACCAGGAAACAAAACCAGGGCCTCGACAAATTTGTTTTGTATTTTTTTGCCATATTGATTGGTGGGAACAAATGCGGTCGTCGCCGCGCGCTTGCCCTGATTTAGCAACGTCGGTCGACGGACGCACGCGAAGCGCGCGAGTTTCCTTCTCATAATTGTTTCTGCCGTGCGCCGCGTTTTCATGGCGCACGTGCCGCGCCTTGCCTTTTCAGACTCAATCGCTCGTACTAGTGCGCGGACCGCATGCAGGCCGCAGTCCACGCGCGCTAGCGCGGCGCACCGCAGCGCGCTTCGAAACGATGTTGGGCACAATGGCATTTTTACCGCAACGCCGCGAATTTGTTAGCCACCCCGCGCGGGCGACGCCGAACGCACGCGTGTCCCACCGCATGTGCGCCGCCGGAGCTAATTTTCCGTTTTCGATTGTGAATTGTATCGCGGGCGCGTGTCAGGCGCCCTCGACGCGCCA